ACCTGTCTCAGCTCCTCCCAGGCCGGCAGGTGTGTTGTCAGAAACGCAGCGGAGGAGCAGACCGGGCGGACCTGTTCCACTCCTCACTCTGACGGTGCGTTCCAGGAGCGCTTCCTCCACGCAGTCATTCTAGTTCTTTGTCACTGGACAGGTTTCTCAGATGGTTTAAAAGAATGATCTGGAGACAGGTGAAGAACCTGCAAGAGCACCAGATTCTGATTCATAGTATGAACATCCCAGTGTGCCACCTTTCTCAGTCCACACACCCGAACCTGACGCGGTCACGGCTCTGTTACCGGCTCCACAGTTCACCTAGTGTGAAACTCAGTTTCCACGTTTGCAATCACGGAGGAATGTAGCAGAACCAGTTGGTGAATGGCTGAATATGAGGATAATCATTAACACTTATTGTTCATTTACAAAAACGTCTCATTCAGGTTTTTGTTACTTCTTGTCTGTGTAAGCGACATAACAGGCCTATTAGAGAACTACAACTCCTCATCAGAAAAAGTTGGGATGGCATGTAAAACCACATTTAAAACTGAAAATAGTGACGTGTAAATCATCTGTGACACTGAAAACAACACAGCACGTTGTTTGATGTGACACCTCATCAACTTTATTCTTTGTTCAAAATAAACATTTCAGTCCTGATGCCTGCAGTAAAGTGTTTACCACGGTGTGATGCTGCTGTTCTTTTTCACAGCACTTAGAAGACGTTTAGGGACCGAGGACACCAAGCGATTGTGTCAGGTGTCATTTTGTCCCGTTCTTCCTGCAAACAAATCTTAAGGTGCAACAGTCCTGGGACTTCATTGACACAATCTGCGCCACACATTCTCTACCGGGGACAGGTGGGGACTGCAGACAGGCCGGTCCAGCACTCGTCCCCTTGTCCTCCACAACCAGGCCTTGGTAATGTGGCACTCTGAGGTTTGCATTGTCTTGTTGACATATACATGGGCGTCCCTGGAAAAGACGTCATCTTGAAGGCAGCACATGTTGCTCCAACATCTCTCTGTATTGTTCATCATTAATGGAGCTATCACAGAAGTGTAAGTGACCTTTGCCCTGGGCACTGACACGACCCCAGACCATGACTGACCCTGGACTTGTTGCTGGTAACAGTCCTTTACTTTGGTCTGGAGCACACGGCGTCCATTCCTTCCAAAAAGACCTGAAACACTGATTGGTCTGACCACAGTGCGCGTTTCCACTGTGTGATGGTCCGTCCCAGATGTCTCTGAGCCCAGAGCAGTCGTCCTCTGGACACTGACACATGGCTTCCTTTGGGTACAGCACAGTTTTAAGCAGTATTTATGGATGTAACTACATATTGTGGTGCCTGACAGGTGAGCCAACGTCATCCTGAGCCCATGTGATTATATCGCTGATAGCAGAGTGACGATTCTTGATGCGGCGCCGTCTGAGGGATCAGAGAGCTTGGTCATCCAGCTGAGGCTCGGCCATCGGCCTTTACGCACTGAAATCCCTCCAGACTCCTTGACTGTTGCTAAGTCAAAGCTGTTGCAAAGCAGTTATGTGACCACTTGCACAAGAATGATTTGTTTGAGGATTTTCAGTCAGGATTTAGAGTCCATCATAGTACAGAAACCGCATTAGTGAAAGTCACCAATGATCTTCTCCTAGCCTCGGACACAGGACTTGTCTCCATACTTGTCCTCTTAGATCTCAGTGCTGCTTTTGACACCATTGATCACAGCATCTTACTGCAGAGACTTGAACATGTTATTGGGATTAAAGGAACTGCGCTAAGTTGGTTCAAATCTTATTTATCAGAAAGATTTCAATTTGTTCATGTTAATGACGAATGTTCCACACAAACTGAAGTTAGTCACGGCGTTCCACAGGGCTCTGTGTTAGGTCCAATTCTCTTCACTTTATACATGATCCCTTTAGGCAATATTATCAGGAAACATGATATAAATTTCCATTGCTATGCAGATGATACTTTTAGATCATGTTTATCTACGGACCCAGATGAATCAGATCAGTTGGTCAAATTTCAGTCGTGTCTTAAAGACATAAAGGCCTGGATGACCTGTAATTTCTTACTTCTAAACTCTGACAAAACCTTAGAAATATGTTATCTAACCATATGGTTCCTGTAGATGAGTAACTATATGGTAATAAGATAAGGCTTACTTATATAAAGCATCAGAACACTAAGGTTGTGTTAATCATAATAACACTGAAGGACAAGCTTTAAATCTTCACACTGTAAACTCAAGAATCCTTCAGCTGACAGACCCGGGGATGTGAATTCATGAGTGTCAGTGGTTATCGGACACACGCCCTGTGTGGTGTACAAGGAGATCAAGGTCTAGTGTGAGCAATGCAACTTCACCCACTGCAAACAAATGCTGATAACAAAGATAAGGTATGTAGAAGTGCGTGTAGAGTAGTTCATGTGGGGGTGTTTGTGTTAGCACAAAACACAAATATGCTCTTATCACAGCCGAGTGGGCGGTGGGACTGGAAGCACCTCTGCTAATGGAGTGGAACAATGTGACTCCTTTACGCCTCAGCGGGAAAAAGACGGATCAGCATGCTGCTCCGTCTCATACCTGTGGCAGGTGTGTCTGCCGCACACCCACAGCAGCTACACCAGACCAACACCTACATACCTACAGGAGAGGGGGAGGGGTTAAGCAAACAGGTCAAAGGAGCTGAGATCACAGAGAGGAAATGAAGTGGCTTCGCTCGGCTTCGGCCTGTGTCTCCAGCGCTGCTTAAAGCTGCTGTTCTTATGAGTTTTATGATAACAGGTGAATCTCCAGAGAATTAGCAGCTGAATCTGCAGCTCAACATTCAGCTCGTGTGGTTCCTGCTCACAGCTCTCAGCATCATTGTCAGCCATAGCAGCTGTTTTCAGAGAAGATGCTCTACACAGCCACTGTCCTCTGCAGCAAACAGCAGACAGGCACATGAGACAGACATGTGGAGACGTGATTGTGTCTCCTCTCATTCGTCAGCATTAATGATGAGCATTTCTGCACAATGCAATGTAAAGTGCACATTAGGTCAGAGCAAGTCCAGAAATACCAAGTATCTCCTGGTTAATGTTTAGAATAAAACCACACCCTGTAAGGTGTGGAGGGACTGGACACAGAAACATGAACACCTGTGCAACATAACACAGTAAAACATCTCTAACAAACAAGTCAAACTAAAATGGCAATAGGTTTTTCTCTGATATAAGATTTACAACCTCCTACTAACTGCAGCCTTAGCACAGGCTGTGAGTGTTCCGTCACCGTGTCCACCTCTGTACTTCAGCCAAACACAGCCCCCCTGTGCAACTCATCTTAGATAAGCACGGTCGCTCTGCCTTGGACACAATGCACACACAGCGTAGACAACCTGTGTCACTGGTTCTTCAGAGGGGTCCCTCCTGAAAACAGAGAAAGATCCTGGCAACATGCTTGTCAGCAGCCAGGCATGGCTGCCACCTGTCAGCAGAATGCCAAATAGTATTTACACACCAAGTGTTCCACACATATTTCCAGGCCTGTAAACATGTAGAAAGGATTTAAAATCAGCCGCGCCCACAGCAGGAACTGTTCACCCAGAGCTCTAATCTCCAACTAGCACTGCTGCTGACCTGTGATCGGGTTTCACTGTACACACGAGGAACGACTGGGCCCAGATCCTCAATGCTTAAACTAATAACAGAACGGACTGAAGCCAGCACCCTTATGTCTGATCGCCACCGGACGCAAAACGAAGCCTGTGAAAAGTGAATGTTATTTGTCAAATGCCTGTTTTGGCTTCTGACCCTGATTTGAGTCATTCGATATTTTGCTTCAACTACACTTTATGTAGTACTACAAGTATATGGTTAAAAATACATCACTGGTTACTTTAAGTACCCACTCATACTGTGTATGTGCCTGTACTCAACACTGTTTACTGCAGTAAAAGTGGCAAGACCACAGTGTAGAAATACTTTGTTACATATCATGCATTCATGTTACTTAAGTCAAAGTACAAGGCTAATAGCATCAAAATATAATTTAGGTATCCAAATTACATTCTGCACAATGGTCCCATTTTATTACACTGATGTGTATGTGTCCATCACTTTAATGCTGCAGCTGGTAAAGGTGGAGCTGATGGTAACTACCTTATATACTTATACTGGGAAGTACTTTCCATCCTGCTGGGTAGCTGGTGGATTTCCTACTGGGATCAATAGAGTCTGATGGTTCTACTGGGTTTGGTTTGATTCATCTGATTCTGGAAAGGACCTGAAGTTATCAGGTACATGTAGTGCAGTAAAAAGTACATCTCTGACATGGAGTAAAGTCACAGGATGAAGGAGCAGGACATGGAAGTACTCAAGTACAGATACTTCTCATTTGTACAGGACTTCAGTAAACTGTTACTTTCCAGCACCACTTCTAAGAACTGTGTCATAGAAACAGAACTCCCTTTTGTTTCACTTTAGATAAAATAATTCCTGGTGCACCAGCAATGTCAGACCTGTTTAATATCTGAGAATCAAATTCAGTTCCCTGTTTAGACCAAGCAGAAGATGTCAGGTCTGGGTTTCTCAGGGCCAAGTGTTCCCATGAAGACCTACTTCTGAGATGAAACCATTTGTTCCTGCACCAGCATGTAGAGATAAAACAGTCTGAAGACAGTGTTGGGAAACAGACAAAGTAAAATGATCCTGGGTCTTCCAGACCCTCAGCTCCTTACTGTTACCTTCATCTTTCCCTGCATGTGACCAGGACACAACAGGAAGTGTTGTGAAATCATCTACTAGATCATCAGCTACATGTGTTGTGGCAACAATCTGATCAAAATCTAAACAGTACAACCATCAGTTCCACCTGCAGATTACGGCAACACGAGGTAAAGTACACAGGGAGGTTGGTGTCGAGCAGGACACCTGCTGGACAGGAAGTGTAGAGCCCCAGGTTTCTTCACTGGTAACCTGCATCAACCTTCAGAGTTTAGTAACAAGAACACACTCAATTCAGCTTTTGTTTTATTTGAAAGATCATGCAGTGCACATCCATGGAAGGAGCTTCTCACTATCAATGATACACATGAATACATCATCATTACCTAATACAGAAGGTTAACTAAACATTACTGTGGAATGTAACAAATTAAATAGAAAAAGGAAAAGTGTGCAATGTCACTACTGCTGCACCACAGATCTGAAAAAGGTCTGACGGAGGTTGGCGTTGGTTGTGACCCTGTTGTGTAAATACAAAAACTCTGGATCAAGTATAGAACTTAAAGACAAAAAGCAATAAGTTACTTTTTTCAAGTTTTGGGAATTTATTGAGAGAACTGAGGGGGCATGGAGTAGGGCACCAGAGGGGGAGGGTGCTGCTGCGGAGCCTGCGCCTGGGGGAAAGGGAAAGGTGGGTGGCTGGTGCCGTTCTGAGCGGCGCCCTTACTGGGGCCAAACTGCTGGGCCTGGAAGTTGTTCTGACCCCCAAAGGCTCCTGTTTGGTTGTTAAAGTTAGACTGTCCGTTACCGTTGTAGCTGCCTCCGCTGTAGCCGTTGCTACTGTTGTTGCCCCCATAGCCTCCGTTCTGTGTATTTGTGCCAAAGGCTTTATTTTGTCCACCGTCCCTGTCCCTAAAACTGCCAAAGTCGCGCCTGCCAGAGGAATACCTATCCCGGCGGTCATCTCTGTAGTCACCACCTCTGCCTCCCCTTGAACGACCTGGGAAAGAAAGCAGGTTTCTGAGTTAAGAAAAGCAGCTAGAGGCAGGATGTTTGAGGTAAAACCTGGTTTGAGATGCGGAGCAAAAAAAGAAGGCTGCAGTTCAGAGCACAGCTTGTGTATCTCACCAACTGGATTTACCTCCTCTGTCTTCTGCCATCTGGAGGAGCTTGGGATTGATGGCCTGGTTGGCCTCCCGCAGCACAGAGACGAGGTCGCTGGCCTGCCTCATGTTGTTCGGGGTGAAGAAGGTGTACGCCGTGCCTGTCTTTTGGCTACGAGCTGTTCGGCCAATGCGGTGGATATAGTCCTCTGAGTTGTTGGGGTAGTCAAAGTTGATGACAAATTTCACGTCTTCAACATCTGTAAAATTGTGTTGCGATGTGGTGTAAAGGAACAGGAGGACAGCACACAGATGTGCGCCAGCACCACCACAACAACCAAATTAAAGACAAAGTTAGTATGGTCATGAGGTGGGGGGGTGGGGCTGAATCCATAAGGCTGCAAAAAACTGGCATTAGAACTACAGACATTTCCTCCACGGGGAGACTACGGTGGGAAGAGAGAAACAATGCACACTCCAACTTCTAATCCCCGTGGGAGGAAACAGACCCTCCCTGGAGCCGCTGGCAACCCACCCTCAGAGAGGCCGATCAGAAGTCTTATGATGTGTGGAGTATGCATTCACTAGTCCGTTCCCATTGCAGCACACGCCCCACATACTGTCTACACTGCCACCTAGTGCCCAACTAGAACTAAACCACCATCCCTCTGTCACACCCAGATGTCTGCCATAAACCTCACACTGCAGTGTCTCTGTACTGCAGGATGCGGACAAACAGCACATCCAGATTTTTCCAGACCCAGTGTTCACTCGATCATAATGTCTCTCGTTGGCAGGTCTCGACATGACTTTGAAACGCAGGCGAGGGAGGAGTGTGAGCTTGGATTTTGCCCTAGTGTCCAACTAGCATGTCCCACTGTCACCAAAAGC